TAACTGTGGGTGGTGGGATTAGGATTGGCAGCAGAACACACCTCAAACAGCCCACCAGCACCATAGGGCTGTACGTGCAGAAGTTCTGCCGAAGCAAAGATCACATTCTTGAGAAGTTAGATAAAGGTCGCTATTGTTCTTGCCGCCAAGATTATTTTTATCACATTGTCAACACAGTTGTTAATGTACAAACACGCAGGTGAGATACAGAACACATGAAACTCATAAAAAAGGTGGAGACGTTGTATGCACGTGCAATTAGAGCACTGGAGATGAGATGTACATAAAAATGCTGAAGGGGAGCAAATGTTTGCTTGACAGATTAAGGAGCTGGCTGGCACTGTTCCTTGTGGTGAACTGCTTGGTGACATTTATGGCGCTGATAAATAAAATTTGTGAGCAAATATCATTAATTGATGTAGTTCAAGGAGTGGCTGTTTGGCACATTTCTATGGAGGTGGTAATTCAGATGCATAACCAGAGAAACACTGAAGGGTTTTGCTTTTTGTTTTGGTTGATTTTTTTCTTTTTTTTTTCCTATAATGTTGCAGTTGTTTCAGAGTACAATGAGATTTTTTTGGCATAGAAGTGCTGCTGTAATTGGTTTCTAGGACTTTCTTGATTTGACCTAATTGGACATTTTGAAAGGTTGCCCAAGTACGTGGTTGGATTTTGCCAATTTTCTATCAATGATTAATAAAGCTCATTTGGAGGATCAATTAGAGTTTCAAAAAGAAGATTTTGCACCAGAATTGTTATACAACTAATGAATTCTACTTTATTAATGAACATTTTCAATGTTGAATGATGAAAAACAGTGCTATAGTGAACAGTAAATGCACATTTTTTAAAAATAATTTCGTCCCTTCAGCTTATCATTATGTTATTTCAGGAATTCTATAATCAGGGTGGGGAAACACTTTAATTCTGGTTTGTAGTGATACTTTTGGCAAAATTCTAATTGTTGTTTTTGAAAAATCATTAGACTCTTAAAAAAATGGTTTAAACAGGTAAGATTTCCTGAAATGTTTATTTCTTTTTCACAGTGCTTGAAGTTTAAGTAGCAGCTTTCCAAAAGTCTTTAGAAAGAATAAGTAACTGCTCTTGGTGTGTCTGAAGACCTAGTGAGTTTAAAGAAATGATGTGTTTGGAGGAAGGAAAAGCTGGTAGTGTATGCCGTCATCAGTTTCTAATCTTCCCAGCTCCTCCCCAGGTTCTTGTTTTCATAAAGATAATTTAAAAACAACATGCAAGTGGTTCAGCCTGTCTCTGTGCATTTATAATTTGTTTATTTCCCTGGTACACAAGTATAGATTTGGAGGATTGTTTTTTTCTGCAGTCAGAGGACTGACTAGGGTGGATAAGTTAACAAGCAGGAGGTTCCTGCATGTTGGAATTAGCAACTTATCTGTCTCATCCATTGCTTGTTTGTTCATGTTTTGCTCATTCAAATGTATCCTAAAGAAATGAGGTACCCAGCTATTATGGTAGTGCCAGTTTCTAATTTGTTCCAGGAGTTCATAGCCCTGGGTCTGAGCACATCAGGAAGGACCTGTAGGTGTTTCCATACTACTTCTTATTATTCTTATAAGTAAGTTTTTAATCTCAGTGTTACTGGGTTTCAGCTGACCAGGTATCTAAAAAAAAAGTGTAGCTATGCTATGCATAGCTGTGCCATGAACTGCTATACTTACTCTTTAGCAGTCAGGCAAGAGTTCTACTGAGGCACTTCCCTCTGCAAAGCTTTATGCACACCAGGTAACACTGACACTCTGCTGCAGTGCTTGAAGGTCACTTGAAAAGCCAAAGTTTTGACTGAAGTAGGACTCTTCCTTCCTCCCTCTTCCTTCCTACAGAGAGATTTTTCAAGCTGGCCTCCAAAGTATCTTCTAGGATTCCTGACAGATCAGCTTTTCTAGGAGAAGGAGCTGTTTCTTTTGCAGGCACTATTAGCATAAATACCACAACATGAAGCCCATAATCACACTCAGAGGACACTTTCCTCTTGTATGTCAGGAAAATTGAGTTTAATTTTGCATTTACTAAAATATGACTGTTGAAAATCTACGTATTACACTGAGCAGGTATATATACTACACTATGTGCTACACTTGGGGCAAAAAATGGCAACCCATTCTAAACTAATAGGATTATAATGCTATTTATTACAGCATTGCTGCTAGCACCAGGGTAATATTTGTGTTCCAGTTCTCTTAGGAGAATTTAGGAACCAAAATACTTCCATGAAAATACTGTGCATATCTCCAAAATCTTCCAGAAATTCAGCTATGAATGGATTCAGGATGAAGATGGTAAAGTGATCTCATTTGTTGCATGTGTTAGGCCTGCTAAAATAAAGTTTAGCAAAATACTGCTAAAGCTAGAGTGCAGGATGAATGGGAAGATTATAGAACATTATTTTGCATGTTTTTACTTACTGAAATGAGTAGATGAACTCATCTCCTCCAGAGCAGAGATAGCAGGGTTCTACCTTCTGCTCTGAACTTAGTAGAAAGGTGCAATCTCAATTCCTAGATTTTGTTATTTTTACTCTAAGGTGGAGGTTGTTTCCCAGCATGTCTATGTTTCTTGCTCTCTTTTCCATAGTAATGATTGCTTATGAGGAACAAGTTGATTTAGAATAGGACAAGCTGCACGATCCCTCAGTTAATACACCCACCCACCTGGTAGTTGAGCTCCATATGGTCTTGGATTAGGAATGAGAGAACTTGCAAAACTCTTGCTTCTGTCAGGTCTCCAAAATCAAGACTCTCCCCAGTGTGTTTCAGCTTTGCCTCAGAGTAACCAAGTTATAATTATTCCAACTGAAGGAGCCTTTCCAAGCCCTAATCTTTTAACTGAAACCTCTGCGGCTTGGAACAAGGGATCTGGTTTCAATAGGACCTCTACACATCTTCCCACTCCACCTTCTCTCCCAGCTGTGTTCACCCTTCATTTGGGCCTTCTCAAAAGAGGTGTCTCTTGTCCACTGCTGAGAGGGAACTGTGTGGCAAGCCTTTGGTGCTGCCACAACCACTTCAAACTAGAGGCTTTTCTGCAGGCCAGTTAAATGCTGTTTCTTCTTGTCTGATGGGCTGTCCTTGCACTAGTGTGCTCCTTGACCATTCCATTTGATATGAAGGAAAAGCTACATATCTGAGCTACTGAAGCCAGTCATTTGTCATCTACTTTTTGCATTAATATTAATTTGCTAATGTGAAGTTACTTCTGGTATGAATTTTTGGAAAATCCAAACTAGGTCCACTATCATGAAATTTGGAGCCATGACTCATTAAAAAAGTCATCACAGATGGCACTAGGATGAGAATGTTCTTGATGATCTGTTTAGAGAATAAGAAGAATGAACTGGTGGTTTTGTTTACTCCAGTAGCCTATCTAGCTTGCAGAAAGACTGGAAGAAATAGAACAAGTGTAGGATTTCTTAACTTCTGGCGGTCAGAAGATACAGGAATTTCCTAAACCAGAAATTTCACTGGATTGCATCATCATGTTTATTGGCCATTGATGGACTTGTCGACCCTAAATTGTCTGATCTGCTTTGAACTTTCTTGAACCTCCACATCATCCTTTGATAACAGTCCAAATAGCCTTTTTTTAGTAAAACAGCTTTTGCAATAAAAGGAGAACATACACAGATTCCTGTTTAGTCTGGAAGTTGGCTTCTGTCTAGGAGAGCTGAGACTTGTTTTTCCCCATACTTTCTTGCTGCAATTTAGAAATACAGATATTAAAAATAATTTCTTGATAATTATTTAATCTTACTGTTTTCTTTCAGTTTTGGTATTTTTGCCCATGTTCATTTGGTTGTGTGGACTGAGCACTAATTTCCTGTGCCATGTGCAACCTTGCATAACTTGAAAAAAAAACCCCTGCTGTGTTTTTTCATGACAGATCAAAAATGGATATGAACTGTGTGCTGGAGGTTAGAGTGTGCCTCCAGATTAGTTTCTCCCTCTTTTTCTTTCCTTCTTGTTATTTATTTTTCTTTCCTATTTGTCTCAATTTTCATTCATTTCTCTTCTCACACATCCGGTCTGGCTCCCCTTGAATTCTGGTGGTAGGATGGAACTGGATCTACGCACAAAAGCAAAGTACTATTACATGAGGTTATTTTTATATGCCCCAGAAATCTTGGAACAGACATATATTACACTGTATTGGAAAATGGAAAACAAAGTGGAAAAGAAACAGTATATAGTACTACTGGTTTATTTTCCTTTCTTTTTTTCTTTTTTTTTTTTTTCAGGAAATGGATATTTGCCCCAGACAAAGACTAGAGGATGTTGGCCAAATACCTTCAGTTAACACCAAAATGTTTTGAAGTGTTTCATGGCACTTAGAGAAGATTGGCCTCAGCTAGCATTAATAATAAATGGAAGTTAATCTAAATTCATTGTGGTCACGTACTGTCCATCAGTTTTGTTGTGTGTATAAGCACTGCTTATCCATCATTTAAAGAGGGACTCACACAGGATGCTTTCCTGCTGTGCTGACTCACTCCTGGTAGTCTAAAAATGAAAGGGGCATGTATGCTTCTTGATTTTCACATTCATTTTAACACTTTGGAAACAAAATGTTTTGGACTCTCTTTGTCTGCCGAAAGGTGACGTTTTCATTTAATCAGCAGACTGGAGTAATTTTTAAACTGCTGCTTTACCATGATTATTTTCATCTTTAATCACCGTGTCCTCATGTACCATAGTACTCAGGAAGTAAGAGGCCTGGGAAATAGCAAAGAAAACCTGTATGTCTTGTAAGATCGTCCTTCAGAAAGTGATTAGAGGGTCCCCTGTCCACCAGATAATGTGTGCTAGGTGGTCAAGTGATTCAGCTTAGCTCATGTTTCATTGCCTGTGCTTTCTGCCTGCTTGTGTACAAACAAATTAAAAATGGAACAGGTGAGGTGTGTAGTACTTCTGAGAAAAACACTAAGTCATTTCTATCAGAGCTGAAGTGCCAAACAACCACCCTAAAATCAAAGATCTGTAGAGCAAAACAAACCAATCAGTGACAAGGAAATCTGGCAGCTGATGTCAGATGTACCATGTCTGTTACCATCAGAGAGCCCAAAGAAACTAAAGCTCTTTCCTGCCTGCCCAGCCCTGAGGTGTGAAAGCCAGACAAAAATTCCTTAAGAGGAAAAGTAAATTGAGAGCAATAAAGGATAAAGGCTGAAATCCACCAAGGTACCAAGTTAAGTTGTTGTGTTAAAATGCGAAAGAAAGAATTATGCTTTCATTGACTATGCCCTGAAAGGCGTACAGATTCTCTTCCAGTTCATCTCAGAGCTGGATTACATCCTAGGCGCTCCTGGTCCAGCTGTCAGGCATTTGATGAGGTCAGTGTTAGGCTGCTTTTTTGGTTGAAGGGAAGTTTCTGACTCCTGCATTTGTAAACAAAATCACAGGCTGTGCATTACCGATGCAGTGGGAAATTGTGCCTGTACATGACCTGAACTTTGCTTCTCAGAGAGGGAAAATGCTGTCATTTCTGTCCTGGTACAAAATATGTACCTCCCTCTGCTCCTCCCTCCCTGTTTCGTGCCTGCTCCAGGTCAGGCAGCACAGATACCACAGGGTTTCAGAGGCTCTTTGACATGTCCTGCAGTTGTACTGAAACCTCATTTCATGGCTGCTAAGAAAAGCGTTTATGTGAATGCATGGTAGTCACGGCACATCCCTGGAACTCAAAGAGAACAGGACCTTTCTTTTTGCCAAATAGGAGTGGTGTTTTAGGCACTGGGGGAGGGCATTGATATTGAAAGTTACTGAGGGCTTAGGGTCCTGGATTTCCCAAATCTGGGGACTTACAGATCATATGCGAATATCATCTTCTGCCTAAGAAGATGGAAGGGAAACTGTGGTCATGTGAGGAGCCAGGAGCATCTGTCCTCATGCAAAGTAGGTGGCTAGAGAAACACTTTCAGATACTTTGACATATCTATTCCAAAAGATGCAGGGAATTGGCATCAGAATATAGGAGGAAGCGGTACCTCTCCAGTATCCACAAATATTTGCTGTTGCCATCAGTGAATGGCATTCAGTGTCGGTTTCATTCTATGGGGATGATGACACATTTTAAGGCTCCCATTCTCACCATCACATGGCTTTGTGTCCCTGCATTTTAGTCATTTCAGAGCAGTGCATCACCACCCCACTGGCTCATGCTGTGCTCTGTGTTTAGCAGCACATATTTATGACACGGGGAGTGAAGAATGAAGTCTAACTCAAGTCCTTAACTAACCCGTAAGCGAGGGATTAACTGCGTACTGCAATCTTTTACTAAGTATTAATCACTTAACATTATTTTCATATTTTTGAGAAGTCTTTCACTGCCTTAGTATGTCAGCACACAACTGGGTTTGAAATCACGGCGTTTGAGGGACTGCTGATACATTAGACAGGTATTACTGTTGTTAAC